CAGGAATGAAGGTAATTCACCTCTCCCACAACTGCCAGGTGTTCTCTGGGGATGTGCAAAAGGAGTCAATAAAAAAAAAAGTACTCTAATTGAAAATACTGAAATGGCATAATCTTGATGATATATCGCATACAATATATATGATATCACAGAGTGGTTGAGGTTGGATGGAACCGCTTGAGGTCATCTGGTCCAAATCACTTTGTAAAGCAAGGCCATGCACAGCCGGTTGTCCAGAACCATGTCTACATGTTTTTTGGGTATCTGCAACAGTGGAGATTCCACAACCTCCCTGGGCAACCTGTGCTTGTGTTTGGTCACTGTCGTAATGAAAAGTGTTTCCTGATGCTCAGAAGAAACCTTTTGTGTTTCAGTTTGTATGTGTTGCCTTTTGTCCTGTAACTGGGCACCACTGAAAAGACCCTGGCTCCATCTTTGCACCCTTCCTGAAGTTATTTGTGTATGTTAGTAAGACTCCCCTTGGGCCTTCTCTCTTCCAGACTGAATAGTCCCAGTTCTCTCAGTCTCCGCTTATAAAGACAGATGCTTCAGTCCCTTTGGTTTCATGGCCCGGGTGGGACTCTGTCTCCAGTACATTCCACGTTTCTTTTGTACTGAGGAGCTCAGAATTAGAGATAAGAATAAGACTTCAGGTGTGGTCTCACTAGTGGTGAGGAGAGGGAAAGATCATCTCCCTCACCCTGCTGGCAATGCTTTGTCTAATGCATCACGGGATCCCATTTGACCTCTTTGCTGCAAGGACACATTTCTCACTTCTGGTCAACTTGATGTCCACTAGGATCCCCAGGTCCTCTTATCCTAAGCTGCTTTCCTGCTGGGTGCTCCCCAGCATGCAGTGATGCATGAGGTTTCTTCCCATGTGTAGGACCTTGCTTATCTCCTTGTTGAACTTAATGAAGTTCCTGAAGTTTCTGCAGCCTGTCTAGGTCCCCCTGGATAGTAGTTCAATCATCTGATGTATCAGCCACTCCTCCTGATTCCTCTCAGTTCATCTACAAGCTTGCTGAGGGTACGTTCTGCCTCATCATCTGGATCATTAATGAAGATATGAAACAGAACCAGACCTTGTATTCGCCCCTGGGGTACTTTGCTAATTACTAGCCTCCAACTAGACTTAGTTCCACTGATTGTCACCTTTGGGGCCCAGCTGTTCAGCCAATGTTATATATTAACAATATTGTATTATCAATACAATATAAATGAATATATGATACACAATTTGAGAAAAAAACAGAGGATGTTACATGTTTGTAGACGTATTATTGAGAAGATGACACATTTTCCTCTAAGGAGACCGAAAGACATCCCAAATGTCTTTTCATTTGCGTAATGTAAATAGCAGAGTCTTTCTACCACTATCTAGTAAGCCACTAGCTGATTAGTTCTGAAACAAGACCTTGTTGGGGCTCCCCTCCTGGGCAAGCAAAGGAGTCATGTGAGCCTGCCATGGCCTCAACGGGGTTGAAATAAGGCTGCCTCACAGCAATAATTTCCCCAAAGTGCATGTCACCATGCCTAGCGTCCCAGCAGAACCTCTTAATGTGTAGTGTGCATTCCATTTATTTGTTTTCATTGAGTATGATAGTGCATTTACAACTTACACTGAAGTATAGGGTCAGTCTGTGGTAATTCTTCTCAATGAAATTCCTCTGTTGCTTCAGCAGACAGAAAATCAGCCATCAGTGGGGTAGAATTTTTTTCCTTTCAGTCTCCGGTGGAAGTGGCACCATGACTGGCCAGAAGTATGCTACCTTTTCCAGATGGAGAAAATAACTTCTAACTAACTTAAGGTTCTTAGACTCTAATTTAAGTGAGGATGGTCCTCTATGAGAGTCTTCAGGAAAGAGGCTGGGTAAGTAAGGTAGTTGTTGATGCCAGCTTTTGCTTCTCTTCAAGTGCAGTTTGAGTACACAGGCTGAGTGAAAGGATCAAGTTGCTGCCCTCATTGGTTAAATGAGTAAGTGTATGTTGTCAGCTGATAGAGATAGTAAGAAAGACTTTCTGGTATTAAATAGCACAAATAGGCCTATCTTCTCTTTCGTTTCTGCTATGTTTGGATTTTGTGATTTTATTCTTTGCTTTTTTTTCATAGGGTAATAGTTAACGGGTTGAAACTTAACAAGTCTAAACGCCAGATTCTGCACCTAGGACAGAGTGGTGCTAAGCACAAGTATAAAGTTGAAGAGGCATGGCTGGAGAGCAGCGCAGCAGAAAGGGCCCTGGAGTTGCTGGTCACCACAGGCTCAGTGTGAGTCAGCCCTGTGTCCTGGCACCCACCAGGGCAACCCACATCCTGGGGTGCATCACACACAGTTTGACCAGCCTGTCAGGAGAGGGGATTATCCCTCTGTATTCAGTATTGTTGCAGCCACTTCTCAAGCACTGCAAGCAGCTCTGGGCCCCATGCTAATCAGGTCTTTGAATGTGTCCAGAGGAGGGCAACAAAACTGATGGAAGGGCTGGAAGGCATGTCCTACAAGGAGTGGCTGAGAACCTTAGGCTTGTCTAGTTTGGATAAAAGGAGGATGAGGGGTGACATCATTGCTCTATGCAGCTTCCTGAAGAGGGGAAGTGCAGAGGCACGTGCTGAGCTCTTCTCCCTGGGATCCTGCGATCGAACATGTGGGAATGGTTCAAAGCAGCACTGGGGAAATTTAGACTAGACATTAGGAAGCATTTCTTTACCTGGAGGGTGGTCAAACACTGGAACACGCTTCCTAGAGAGGCAGTCGATGCACCTAGCCTATCTCAGTTTAGTGCCCTTAGTGATGGGCTTTAACTTCTGGTCAGCTCAGGATTTGTCAGCTAGCTGAACTAGATGGTTGTTGCAGATCCCCTCCAACTGAAATATTTGACCTTAGTCAAGCCAACATCGAGGGGATGTTTGAGAGAACTGAGCAATATTGATGTATGTTATTCCACAGATGGAATAGCTTTTAACAATTATCCTGAATCTTTTATGTGATTGCTACTACTGTTGGGACTCTCTGGAGAAACATAAGGCATCCGTCCTTGCAAGCTAAAGGATAATGTGGAAGTTTGGGAGGAAGGAATGTCCAGATCATAACTCTGGCCACCATTAATCAGGAAAGACCTGACTCAAATTTCCAAGAAGTTTGTAACGGTGGCTCTCTTTGCCTTCTGTTCACTATGACAAATAGGTGTTTTGTGAAGTCTGGAGCAGCTTTAAAGGACAGGCTTACTCAGAACTCCTGTGACCCACAGAAGTTGGTAAGGAGTTGCCAGAGCATGGTGGTACTTACACTTTGTGGTTGGAGAGCCAGGGAGGGTGAGAATAACAGAGCTGAAACAAATTTTCTGAATATAAACCACATTCCTATTTCTGTGTCTTTGTGCAGGTCATGAGCCAGCAATATGCCCTTGTGGCCAAGAAGGCCAGTGGCATCCTGGGGTGCATTAGAAAGGGTGTGGTTAGTAGGTCAAGAGAGGTTCTCCTCCCCCTCTATTCTGCATTGGTGAGGCCGCATCTGGAGTATTGTGTCCAGTTCTGGGCCCCTCAGTTCCAGAAGCACAGGGAACTGCTTGAAAGAGTCCAGCACAGAGCTACAAGAATGATGAAGGGAGTGGAACATCTCCCTGATGAGGAGAGGCTGAGGGAGCTGGGTCTCTTTAGGTTGGAGAAGAGGAGACTGAGGGGTGACTTCATCCACGTTTACAAATATGTAAAGGGTGAGTGTCAGGAGAACAGAGCCAGGCTTTGTTCAGTGATGTCCAGTGATAGGACAAGGGGCAATGGGTGCAAATTGGAGCATAGGAGGTTCAAGGTGAATATCCAAAAAATTTTTTTTCCTGTAAGAGTGACAGAGCACTGGAACAGGCTGCCCAGGGAGGTTGTGGAGTCTCCTTCACTGGAGACATTCAAAACCCACCTGGATGCGTTCCTATGTGAGGTACTCTAGGTGACCCTGCTCTGGCGGGGGGGGTTGGACTAGATGATCTTTTGAGGTCCCTTCCAACCCCTAGGATTCTAGGATTCTATGATTCATCTCCAGTCATGAGTCCTATCTCTGGCCCCAGTATCTCTGTTTCCTGTCTTTTGACACCTCAAAGTTTATAGCTCAGGAAGACCTCTGGGTACAAAATAAAGACAGATAAGACTGGTCTGGGGATCCAGAGTGCCTAGTTGTCCACTGTTTTCCTGTTTGATTCTTATTTGATCTGCATATAGCTTTGTACCCAGCCTGTAAAATAATTAATGTTCACTTCTTGTCTTCCACTCTTTCTTTGCCTTTCCCATTGTAAGCTCTTGTATGTCATAGGCTGTCTGCCAACATTAATGTAAAAAGTTCACCATGATTCTGTGTCTTAATGACCAGTGAGCAACTCTAAAGTTAAATGATTGGAGTGAACTGGTCACCATGTTATGTTAATAATGGAAAGGAACCAAGCTCCTTGAAATTACGTTCCCCAGTTGTTGTCTGCCTGACCTGCCTGTAAATGCATTTGTTTATATCTAGATACAAAAAATATAAATACAATATGTAATACATATTTCATACCATATACAATATTATATGTTGTATAATGTACATTATATGATACATATATACATATTATATATAAATACAAGAGCTGGAGGAAAGGAGGAGTGGGGCCATTTACGGCTAAGGCATTTGTCTTCCAAAGCAATCACTATCTGTGCTGGGATCCTGCTTCCCAGGAAGTGGCTGAACATTGCCTGCTTATGGGAAGTAGAGAATAAATCCATTTTTGCTTTGCCTTTCTGCGGTGCCTTTGCTTTCCTCATTAAACTGCCTTGATTTCAATATTTGAGCTTGCCCCTTTTAATTTCTTTCCCCTGTCTGCCGAGAAGGCATGAGAGAGCAATTGGGTGGGAGCACTGACAGCCAGCCAGAGGCAACCCACAACATCTTCATAATTTTTAAATATATTTTTAGTCTTTTTTTACGTTAGTTTTGTGCAGTTACTCTATTTGTGCAGTGGTGCTTGTGTTCTTGTTTTGTGTTTATGTAAAAATCCGTAACTGTTGCGATGGTAATAGTACTAAGAGAAGAGAGCTAAAATAACCTGCAGTGCCTTGAGAATAACATCAGCAGAGCAACTACATAGCTGGCCGTCATAAACCTTGTTGTCACGTCAGCATCTAAAACCAGTCCAAAGCTTTTCTGAGAAATCTGTAGAATGAGGTTTCTTAATATAACTTAGATACCTAAAGTACTTGTTTTTAGACATGTTCTTGTTTAAGGTGTTAAATCTTTTGTAACTGCAATGCTGACTTATATCTCTTTGTCTCTTAGGATCTCTACAAATCTGCTTTCTTTTATTTTGAAGGCATCTTTTATAATGATAAAAGGTACCCAGAGTGCAGAGATCTGAGCAGGTACAGTATTTGTAGACATTGACTAAGGAAAACCTTAAGGGACAGGAAATTAATTTTTTTTTAATGATTTGTGGTGTTTTTAAGACTGGAATGTCTAGTGTAGGAAACTGGAATGGAGTTTTCTTACAGTCTTTTCATGCTGGATTGACTTTTACATGTAAGTTTAATTTCACGTGCTCTGCTTAGTCCTTCCAATCACTTCCCCCCTGTAAAGGGGATGAATGCATTTTTTTTCCCCTGCAAATTCTGTTTTGCTCTCTTGGAATGGGATTGCTGTAGAAGATGACAGGTCCTAGTCTGTACTGGCTTTTTAAAGTGCCCTCCCTAGCTGTGATGACCACCAGAAGATGGAACAATAGCTCACAGTGGTTGAGCACAAGTCATATCCATTGAGCTGTATGCAGTAGTTTATTTTAAGGAAATATGGGCTTGCTGACAAAACAATGAGATTCAGGAGGTCAAGGTGTTATAATGGACGGTATGGAAGAGCTGTGAGTTTGGGTTCTGTTCTTGTTATGCCAGACTTGGCGTGTGACTTAAGATAATTAATTATTTTGCTCCTTTCTATCCGTGAGCAACGATCTTCATGGGAGAGCTTATGATAACCTAAGCAGTCTGTAGAAGTCTCATATATAGGAAAGTGCTGAAAATCAAAGAAATTATTGGAACATTGACCAGTGCCCTTCCAGTGCTAAAGTTTAGAAATGTAAGTGTGCAGTTGTAATTTGTGTTTCTCTTTGGCTAAACAAACAAACAAACAAACAAAAAAGCTTTTTAATACTTTAGAACAAAGTTATTGACCAAGGGAGCAAAAAAGACGTGCTTGAACTCTGGAATACTGGAGAAATGTCATGGTGTCAAACACCTGACCTGAACAGGTGCCATCATGAGTATACACTCTGACTGGAATTCTTTGTGAAGCTGCCTGGTGGAGGTTTAAAGGAGGTGTTCCACAAGAAGAGTGCACAGTGCTGTAAGGTTGTGGTATTGCTGTGAAATGACCTTAAATTATTACAAAATGTTTTGAACTGTTTTGATTTTACTGTGTCCCAGTGAAGAGTTCTGCATGTCCCCCAGGACCTTCCTTTTCTGTGCATTCACAGTTTATAGTATTGCTATGCTGATGACCTTTCTGTTTTCAGGACAATTATTGAGTGGTCAGAATCTCATGACAGAGGCTATGGAAATCTTCGGTCTGATAAAATGGAGGACTACACGTTTAGTGATTTGTCCCTCAAAATTGGTTTTCCATACCTTTTTTGCCACCAGGGGAACTGTGAGCACATCATTATCATCACAGATATAAGGTAAGTAACTATTGTTTGGGAGTCCTTAGGTACTTGAAAGCAAGCCTTCTGTGGACAAGCTGCAGACACTAAATGCTGAATATTTGTTAGACTAATTTTGAAGTTATTGTTGTGGTTTAACCCTAGGTGGCAATTAAGCCCCACACTGCTCACTCACTCCCCTCTAGTGGGATGGGGGAGAGAATTAGAAGAGTAAACTTGTGAGAAAGTGAGAAAACTCATGATTTTAAATAAAGACAGTTTAATAGGTAAACCAAAAGCCTCCTTCACAAACAAACCAAAACAAGGACTTCATTCACTACTTCCCCTCAGCAGACAGGTGTTCAGCCATCTCCTGAAAAGCCAGGCTTTATCAAGCATAATGGTTACATTGGAAGACAAACCAGCACATTCTCTACCTCTTATGCCATACCATTTTACATCATGCTTAGGTCCCACACTATCCAGTACATCCTCATTAACCACCACCACCCTTCTCATCCTTTGATAATTCAGAATATCACAAAAATAATTCCCTTAGTGTATGGACCACCCCTGTGAAATACCTGTAAAATGCCCACAGAGTTAATTTAGGCAATGCCTTTGGACTCCATCTGTTATGGTGGTTACTCAGGACCGGAGAGATGGTGTGTTGCTTGGAGTGACTGGACACCCAAGACAACTCAGTACTCACTTGCACTGCTTCTTAGAAGGCTTGACCTCCATTGTTTGAAGTGGTTCCAGCTAATAGTAGTTCCTATAACATAAAACTCAAATCCTGGGTTACAACAATTTAGAGGTATTTCCAGTACAATCTCCACCTCTAGTCCATTTGAACCTGGCTGTAGAGTTTAATGTTGCAGTCGACTCCTCCGCTTGCTCCTGCTCCAGCTTGGATCTATCCCTAAACTGCATTCCCTTAGGAGTGTACCTGTTTGAAGAAGAACCTTATTTATGAGGTACAGTCCCACCAGGGGTATATTGCTGTGGCACACATTGTTGTGTGAGCCAGTTGCTTGAGGTGCACCTGTTCCAGCATGGGTTTCTGCATGGGCCAGAATATCTTCAGAGATACACCTGCTCCAGTATAGCCCTTACCACAGCCACAGTCCCTCTTAAAAGTAAACCTGTTATAGCATGGCCTTACCCATGGCTGCAGTCCCTCTAAGGGTTTACCTGCTCTACTATGGGCTTATCCATTGCAACCTGCTTTGAGGTGCTTCAGAATGACCTCATGCACAGCCAATAATGCTTCTGGGTGTGCATGCTGCAGCATGGACATATCCATAGCCACAAATACTTCAAGGTGTACCTTCTTTGCTGTGGACTTACTGACAAACGTGTCAGAAGTATTATCTGCTGTGGCACAGGCGTAGCTATGACCTAAGACATTTTGAGGTGTACCTGCTCTGGCATGGTCTTAGCACAACCATAAATGCATCACAGTGTCTCGCTTCAGTGTGAACTCATCCACAGATCACATTTTCTTTTACTCAAGTTCACACTGGAGTTCCAGCCGGTCCAGTACATCAGCACAGAAACAGCAGCAATGCTCTGGCCATCTGTCAGCCCCAGCACAAGGCCAGTGCTGTTGCCAAAATGTTCCCACACAGCAGAGTAAGATGATCAGCAGTACAGCAGTACAGTGAGCAGCAAAAGCAAAAAGCAGCCATTAATGATCACAAAACTAATTTACAGGAACGCAGGCAAGCCCCGTGCAAGCACAGGAGCCTATCAGTTAATAGCTGACCAGCAATAACAGCTATAAATTTGATCTGGCCCATTCCAGTCAAATCTGTCATTTTATCAAGCCCTTTGAGCCCCATGCTGAGCACCAAAAGAAGGACTGTCATGGTTTAACCCCAGCCAGAAGCTAAGCACCACACAGCTGCTCACTCACTCTGCCCCAATGGGATGTGGGAGAAAACTGGAAGAGTAAAAATGATAAAAATCATGGGTTTAGATCATAGTATTATTGAATTGTTTGGGTTGGAAGGGACCTTTAAAGATCTTTTAGCCCACCCTCCCTGCAATGAGCAGGGACATATTCAACTAGATCAGGTTGCTCAGAGCCCCCTGCAACCTGGCCTTGAATGTTTCCAGCAATGGCATTTCTACCATCTCTCTGGGAAACCTGTGCCAGTGTTCCACCACCCTCATAAATTTTTTTTCTTTATATGTAGTCTAAATCTACCCTCTTTTATTTTAAAACCATTGCCTGTTGTCCTATCACAACAGGACTTTGACACCGCACTCCCTGTCTTGAAGTCAGTGTGAAAAGAGAGGTTACCAGTGAAGACAGGTAAAAAAGTCGAGTACCTCAGCCACCTTTTTGTTGTAATCAACTTCTCAGTTGTGTTCACCAGAAAAGACCCCCATGCTAGCTACTATGAAGAAAATTAACTCTATCCCAGCACAAGCATTCTGCTGTTTTCTGCAAGGCTTATTTATGATTTTATTCCACATGTATGGAACAACCTCTGCGAGGAAGAAAATAACCTCCCTTGTGTTGTTTTTTTACTAATAGTGTCTTCATAAGCAGACTTATTTCTAACTAGCATAGCATGACTGTGGTATGGGAGGAGTAGCACCTACAGTGCTATGTTCTTTCTGTGCAGAGCACATGTGTGACAGATTTCGTACTGATTCTGGAGCACCAGGAAGCAGAATGCTGTTAAAAGTCTCTGGCTGGAGTCAACTGGACTTGTTAGAAGGGGCAGGAACTGAAAAGAGAATAGAGGAAGTAGTGAAAATAGTGGGTTGAGGTGGGTAGATGAGGGAGAAAAGGAGGAGATGAAAGTGATTGAGGTGGCTACCACATCAACAGGAGAACTATTGCGTATACTGGACTTAGTGCATAACAGGTGGAGAGAGCACACTGTCGTGGGTGACAGATCATTTTCAGTTCCCAGAAGCCTGATGTACCTAAGCATTGTTAGTAAATGTTGCCTACCAAGAGGAGTATAACCCAGAGAAGGACATATATGTTGCAAGTAGATGATCTCAGAGTTATGTACTTCTAAACATTCACCTGATGTTTTTGCCTGTTAGTCTGTGTAGGAGATAAAAGCTTTCAAAAGACTGTCTAAAGAAGATGGTCTGAAGACTCCTGAGTGACTGTACAAATTGAATTTACTTGACTGAAATCTACGGATGGTGCCACTAGCAGTCTGTCTCCAGGTCTTAGTCTGTTAAGAAATGTGAAGCACAGGTCTGGTCATAGTTTACACAGGAATTTAAATAAATAATGTATTTTCTTTGATGTCCATGCTTGTATTCAGATAAATTCCAGTGTGGCTGAGTCTTGATTGTGTTTTGTGTATTTATTTCCCTCAAGGCTTATTCATCATGATGACTGCCTGGACAGGAGCCTCTATCCCTTGCTAATCAAGAAACACTGGCTATGTACCAGAAAATGTTTTGTGTGCAAAATGTACACAGCCAGGTATGCTACATTCTTGATCCTTTTAAGTTGTCTTCTAGGTGCTGTTACTGACTTACACAAAAACCCTCAAAGCTGTGTATGTGTTTGATAAAATATGTGAATAATCTTCATGCAAGTATCCTGAGATGTCACTCTTTAGACAGTTGTCTTCTCCCTACCCAGGAAAAGGCCTTCTGCAGGTAGCATTCATTTGGAGGTAATTCAGTTTCACCAAAAGAACTGAAATGAAACAGGTTACTTCCTTGGCTCAGGTTCTTCTGAGAGCTCAGCTCTCCATCAGTTACTTTTGAAAATACTACTTTTGGAGGAAAAAAGCTTCATTTTTCCTCTGTGTCAAGACATGTAATTAAAATTAATTTGCCAGAAGTCAGAGAGCTTTCATTAAATCTGGCACCTAAGCAGAGGGAAGTATGGATCTTTCAAATTTTAATATTGTGAAATCTAGAGATTTTTAAAAAGCATGTAGCTTTACCCACAGGTAAACTCCTAATGCCTACCTGAAAACTCAGTGCTCTGCAGCTGTACTTGAAGGAACTTTCTGTGCTGCACAGATTTTTCTGCAGCTGAGAGAAGAGAATGTGAACTCAATGTTCTCTTATGCTCTTTAGTGCTGTTTTCTTAGACATGAGAAAGCCTTTCAACAGACACAGGCTCTACAGACTAGGATAGGCTCCCTGATTTTAGAGGTCTGAACTATTTATTGGTTCACCCACTGTCCTTTTCTTTCCCCCAGGGCAGCTTACACTCTCAGCCTCAGTTTGACACACAAGCTGTGTCCTTGTTATCTTCCTTGTTTGGCTTTAGACTTCCCTGGAATCAGGCAAAGAGCCAATTCCCCTCGTGATGGGAGCCCATCCTGGTGTTCCTAGCAGAGCCCCTAGCATCCCTTGGCAAGTCGCTATTATCTGTGAGGTATTTGGCCATAAGGGGAGGTGGAGCCAAAGGGTCAATATGAGGGAAAGATGGGATGCGGAGGGCATTACCAGAGGTGATGTAAATGCATTAAATTAAAACCAGGATTAAGCACTAAGCTTAAGTGGGGAGATGCTAAACCATGGATAGCAGAGCTGCTTTGGCTGGCTGTCCTGCATGTTCTAATCTGTCCAGATAGCATCTTTAATCACTAGAGGCCTTGAGCTGTCATGGCCTCTGAGTGCTGCCATAAATTAGTTGCTTTGTAACGTGGTAGACCCTTCTTGTACTGGCAGCAGTTGCTGTTAACTCCAGTGCTTGCTCGAGTGTGCAGCAATCCTCTCCTTGCCTTGTCTGGTATTGACACTGAATGGGTGTGGAGTCTGGAAAAGAGCTTTACTCCTGGGGTGGGAGATTACGACGTAGGTAGTACCTTGTCACTACAACATTTTTATTGATGGTAATTCCTGTCATCCCCAACTCTGAGTAAAATGTTGAGATGTTTGTTACAAAAGTGTAGAACTTGCACGGAAGCCATGTATTTTGCATGGAACTATGTATTTTGTAACCTGCAGGTGGGTAACCAACAAAGACAGTCTGGCACCAGAGGATCCGTGTTTCTTCTGTGATGTTTGTTTTCGGATGCTCCATTATGATGCAGAAGGCAACAAACTAGGGGAGTTTCTTGCATATCCTTACGTTGATCCCGGGATTTTCAACTGAAGCTGACAAGAGCCAGCATGAATTCAATGACCTAGATTGGGGAATTTATTGCTCTGGCTGTTAAAACCATCAGTTTGAGTTTGAGCCTACTGCTGGGTTTTGGGCTAGGCTGCTAATCCTCTCCCCGGAGGTGGAAAGGAGCACTTTGCACTTGACATCTTTCCAGTATGCTTCTCTAAGTAAGTAGGATTTTAAAAGATAAGTTAGCATGGGAAAATATGCTCAAACATCTAGTTAACTTCATCCTTCCAAAAGGGGCATGCTTGCATCTTAAATCTGTAAGCTACTGGTGTCCCTGTGTTCTGACTCTGAGGACTGGTTCCACGAAGGGTGAACTACGCTTCACCAACTACTGATTTGTAGCCTGTCTTTCAAGTAACTTTGTTAACTGTTTACAGCATGTGCAGTTTTAACTGTTCATAAAGTGTTGTTCATTGTGCTTTTTTTTTTTTTTGTATTGCTGTGTTATTGTGAGTAGTGTATTTTTTATTACCGAGTATTTTTTATTAAAACATGAGCAATTTGTACTTGCTAGTCTGATATTAAGTTGGAGTTCTGTTTACCAAACAAGAATATAGGTATATAGTGCCTTGCTTTTTAAAGTTATCTCTAATTCAGAGAATTTTAGTGGAGATCTTCACTGTCCAGGAAACAGCAGGTGGTTACCCAGCAAGGGAAAGACAGTTTTCTTAGCCTTCAGGCATCTGCAGGAGGGAGGGAGCTGCCCACCACAACTGTTGCCAATTGAACTGCTGGGGCTGGACTGCTAGAGGTGCTGTAGCAGTTGCTTTAAAGATCCCCTGCCATGGAACTCTGCTTGCAGCTTCAGTGTTTGCCTCTTTGTCTTCCCACAATCTCCTCCTCTTTCATCTGTCTCCTGGTAATACACAGGCTGCTCAGTCCTCTTCAGTATTGAAATTGAGATCATGTAGACAGCTGGCATGATTTCTAAAGACACACTTGCCTTTATGCCAGATGCTAAGTCAGCAATCAGTAAGTTTTTTGTGGGGGTTGCTTTTTATTTTTCTTTCTTCAGTTAGCAGTGGGGAGAAGGGAGTAGCAAAATGTGCATTTATTAGTTCATTAAACTAATTCTGCCTCAGTACGTATCTTTCACCCAACCCATTTACTCTTATTTCCAGAAAAAGTTATGGTCAAACATATTCCAAAACTGATGTCCATACATACTAAGAAATTTTGCTAAGGCCAGTCCTGTATTTCCAGCAAGGTGAGGAGAAGCTGTCCACAGTCTGGGGGTGGAAATTGAGTGCATCCTGTGCTGAACTACAAACCAGAACTCTCATTAGAAGCTGCTGTTTGTGTGTTCTGATCCTATTTCATATTGTGTGTTTCTATTTAAATGACAAAGGGAGCAAAAAGGTTACAGTAAATCAAGTTTTTGAAGATCCTTTACTTCCCAGGAGCTGTCACAGGACAGCTGGGTCTGGTCTCGATTTAATGTCTCTTTCTGAATGAGTCCTCTGAACAAAACTTAGCATGGCACCCAGCTGCCCATTCATGGTTACATTTCTATGACACCAGCTGGATATTTGTGCTCTGGCTACTTATTAAATGCTGTTAGTGATCAAAACTTCCAAGAAGTTTTATGATTTCTAATTTTGTTGATAATGCTGGTATGTGTGTTAGGTATTTGTGTTTGGGGTTTTTTTTCTCTTTTTTGTTTGTTTTAAAAACAAGACAATTAGCAATTTTTTTTTCTTATAAGTCCCTTCTTGTAATAAAGGAGATATAAGGGTATGGAGCTTGGAGATTCTTTTGAGTTACATTTAAATGAAAATTACATGAGTCTGCTGTGCCTATGCTTCCTGAACTGAGGAAAGCAAAAAGCCTAGAGTATGTAGGGGAAGCTGTTGAATCCAAAAAGCATTAACCTTAATCTCTGATGGGCTTTTTGATTTGGTCTTTTTTAAACAGTTAGTGATTAGATAGTATAAGACTTTGTAACTTATTTCAGACTTCCAGAAGGTCTTGGAGATTCTCTCCTTAGTGAAAGTTTTTACCCTGCTGAGAAGACAGCAATACAGGATGGTTTTATGTGTTGAAGAAGAGGAGAGGCCCCTCTGTGTTTACTGTTAGCACAACATTTTAAGCTGTAGTAAACTTAGCTCTTGAAGTAGCAATGCTACTGTCAAAGCTAACTCTGTTTTAAATACTGTGCGTTAATTGTGGTTTATTTCCTGTCTGCAAAAGGAATCAGCTTTATTCTTTGGGAGACTTGAGTTTGTTTGACTGCCTGGTTATTTCTCAGATCCCAGAAATTATATGTGTCTTTCAAGACATACAGCTGATGGATACTCGGGCATCTTGGAAGGTGAGATGACCATTTCTACAGCCAATGAGATTCTGTGAATATAGGTTACTTTCTGTAAACAGGCAGTAAAATCAGGCAGTTAAAGCCCAAGCAGCTGAACGGGTAGAGCATGACTTTCATGACTTGCAGCATACAATCAGGACCCTCATCTCTGCATCCATCTCAGTTTGCCCTTTGAACTGTTAGCATGGTTGACCCATTATCACTGCAGCAGTTGTGACAGACCTGTGTTAGGTGGTCGACACTTGACAATACCTGTCAAATACACAGTACCTTTTATTTTGGTGGGAGGGGTTTTGAGACAAAGGAATGGTCAAAATGGGGAGGTTCCTGTGTGAGAATTCCTGTTTCCTTTGAGTTAACAACTTTACAGGAACACTTTTGAGGGTGAAAGTGGAAGTTGTTTAATTTTCCTAGAGGCAATAAAATGCATCTAGTGACTAGCTGTGTGTAGAAGCACACAAAATCCGTTGTGCAGTAACTACTGTATGTGGTAGCTGAATGAGAATGCTGCTGGATAGTTTAGCTGTGTGGGCATGTTAGTCTCTCCTCCTAGCAGCATTCTCTTGTGACACACTAGGGATTGCCAAAACTCAAGATCTGTGGAGACCAAACATCACAGCCCTCTGCCAAGGACAACTTCGTACTCTTCAAGGGGAGCTGCCATGGCTATTGATCTTTGAGGTTTAACTTGAAGTGCCGTATGCAAGATCTGAAAGCTATTCAGTTTTGCTATTAAAAACACCTTTCACTATGCACATGGAAAGCTCTGCAAGCAATGTGAGCATTTAGTAACTACTCGTGTTGTTTTACCTTTGTTTGGGAGATTGCTGTATGCAAAATCTCAGCTACAACAGTGCTGCAAACTAGAACTTCTCTCCATGCTGCCTTTTAACTTCAGTAATCCCTAAGTGGATTCTTCTTTGTGAATATAGGCCTCAGTATTTAATCATTAACCTTTTAAAATGCATGTAGCTTGGTACTTTCATTTCCCAAGGCAGCCAGTGTGTTTGAGTGCCACTGCTTTGTGCAAAAAGCCATTTATCAGCATGCTTCTTTGGGCAGTAACAAGAAGAGCTGCTGAAGAACACCAAAGCTCTGCCCCTCTGCCGTGAGCTCACAGCCCTCTTGCACAGAGCAGTGCATAAGAATTGCGGACAGCGCTCTCAACTTAAGGCAGCCCTCTTAAGACAATGTGTAAGCAAACTATACCTGTAATTTTCCTCCTTTAATTCCTCGTAATTGCAATAATTGTCTGGGTATGTGTCCCCCACTTCACATGGACAATGTCAATCCCATAGAGGGGAGAGTGCACCGGGCTTATAAATCATCATCCTCCTCTATCCGGTGACTTTAATTTTCCATCTCTGTGCTCTCTATCTGGGATAGCACCTCTTGAGGGAGTGTGTTGGTGAAAGCAAGTACACTATATATCCTGTTAGTCCTTCTGACTTACCGCAGTTACATTCCTGAAGCCCATTTCTGTTTGTACCTTCATAAGCCCTCAATAAACCATTAATTCATGAATCTTAAATTTGGTGAATGAGGTGATTTCAGAGAGCTACACCCGTGAGAACACCCCATATAGCAACTCCTGCCCTGAGCCATGGGTGAACCCCTGTAAAACTCAGGCCAGTAGCTTTGCTCACTCTGTGGGAGGCTGCCCGTGGTGAGCGAAGCTGGTGTCAGAACCTGACTTACACCGCCACAACCTCCCAAGTCATGACAGGAGCCCAGAACTGAACACAGTACTCAAGGTGGCCTCACCATTGCCCAGTACAGGGCATGATCACTTCCCTGCTCCTGATGGCCTCAGGCATTTAAGGCATTAAAAAAACCCAAAAACACATTTCACCAGCATTTCTGTTCAAAGCTAGAAATGCCCGTGTTGATGCCAAGACAATAAAAGAAATAGTACTAAAAGACCAGACATTTGTTGTTCCAATGAATGATTTTGTCTACACAAGTCAATAACCAGGCTCTCTTAACAGTTTACATTCTTTTAATTCCATAAATTGTTAAAGACAGTGTTTTCCAACAGGTGCATCAACAGGTTGTTGATGTGAAAACACCACATTTCTGACTAGTATACTTATAATACTAAAAGCATACCATAAAGTCACATTGCAACAAATTGGCACAATGAGTTTTGCAAGAACAGAACTAACCTTGTTTAAAAAAAGTGATTAAGTATACTTGTACATTAACATTATAACAGCTATAAAAAATGCCGCTTTCAACTCCTACAAAACACAGTGAAAATACATCCCCAACAAGAGTTGAAAACTGCACAAACAGAGGTCAGTATCATAGGAACAGAGGAGGTTTTATACAAATGAAGCAACTGGGCAGTTAAAAGTATTTACACTTTTTCCTGCTATTAGCTAGACAAACATACAGTAGTCAGGTAAAAATATACTACAACTCTAAAACCTGTAACATGTAAGTACTTTGTTTTCTAACTGGAATTTTCATCTTTTGAAATGTGTTACCTGTTAATACTGGACAAACTATTGGCAAAAGTGTTTAAATATTTTAAACCAAGATTAAAGGGGGTTTTATTCCACAAAATTTAACTTTAAAATATTATGCTTATAAAATTATTTAAAACTTTCAGCAGTCTATAGATTTCAAATGCAAAACTTAACAACCCTTTTTAATTTGTACTTTAAAAAAAGACTCCAGTGGTGTCATTTGCTTTCAAAAGCTGACTCTTTTGCTGGTTTTTCAAGCTCTCTCTCTTCACCACATGTCCTAGAAACAAAAGAAAGAAAAATTACTGATCATATGAAAACACAGAGAGCTCCTGAAGCCCATTTCTGTTTGTACCTTCATAAGCCCTCAATAAACCATTAATTCATGAATCTTAAATTTGGTGAATGAGGTGATTTCAGAGAGCTACACCCGTGAGAACACCCCATATAGCAACTCCTGCCCTGAGCCATGGGTGAACCCCTGTAAAACTCAGGCCAGTAGCTTTGCTCACTCTGTGGGAGGCTGCCCGTGGTGAGCGAAGCTGGTGTCAGAACCTGACTTACACCGCCACAACCTCCCAAGTCATGACAGGAGCCCAGAACTGAACACAGTACTCAAGGTGGCCTCACCATTGCCCAGTACAGGGCATGATCACTTCCCTGCTCCTGATGGCCTCAGGCATTTAAGGCATTAAAAAAACCCAAAAACACATTTCACCAGCATTTCTGTTCAAAGCTAGAAATGCCCGTGTTGATGCCAAGACAATAAAAGAAATAGTACTAAAAGACCAGACATTTGTTGTTCCAATGAATGATTTTGTCTACACAAGTCAATAACCAGGCTCTCTTAACAGTTTACATTCTTTTAATTCCATAAATTGTTAAAGACAGTGTTTTCCAACAGGTGCATCAACAGGTTGTTGATGTGAAAACACCACATTTCTGACTAGTATACTTATAATACTAAAAGCATACCATAAAGTCACATTGCAACAAATTGGCACAATGAGTTTTGCAAGAACAGAACTAACCTTGTTTAAAAAAAGTGATTAAGTATACTTGTACATTAACATTATAACAGCTATAAAAAATGCCGCTTTCAACTCCTACAAAACACAGTGAAAATACATCCCCAACAAGAGTTGAAAACTGCACAAACAGAGGTCAGTATCATAGGAACAGAGGAGGTTTTATACAAATGAAGCAACTGGGCAGTTAAAAGTATTTACACTTTTTCCTGCTATTAGCTAGACAAACATACAGTAGTCAGGTAAAAATATACTACAACTCTAAAACCTGTAACATGTAAGTACTTTGTTTTCTAACTGGAATTTTCATCTTTTGAAATGTGTTACCTGTTAATACTGGACAAACTATTGGCAAAAGTGTTTAAATATTTTAAACCAAGATTAAAGGGGGTTTTATTCCACAAAATTTAACTTTAAAATATTATGCTTATAAAATTATTTAAAACTTTCAGCAGTCTATAGATTTCAAATGCAAAACTTAACAACCCTTTTTAATTTGTACTTTAAAAAAAGACTCCAGTGGTGTCATTTGCTTTCAAAAGCTGACTCTTTTGCTGGTTTTTCAAGCTCTCTCTCTTCACCACATGTCCTAGAAACAAAAGAAAGAAAAATTACTGATCATATGAAAACACAGAGAGCAAGACTTACTTCCAGATGAATCTGAACAGTCCATAGGAAGTGATGGTGACATACATGCAGCAGTAGATGTAGGCTGAAGAACAGAAGCAGGCAGGGATGCCAGCCCTGTGTCTGCCTCCAACCATGAAGCTAAGCTGGGAGACTTAACATCACGTTCACCTATGGGACTGGCTGTGAATGGCAGCCACTCAGAGTGGTTTGTGTTCAATTCTGGCAGTCCTCCCTAGTCTGCTGACAACTGTGGATCAGCCAAGTGGCAAAGCACTCTGGCTTAATGTACCTTACCAGTTGTAGCTTTTCTCAGTACGGGAGCATGCCACTACGTGTCCCAGACGCTAGGGTAACCTCAGGAAGCAGAATGTGTTTTTACCAAATGAGAACAGAAAGATGTCCTTAGGTACCAATCATTTGAGAAGCATGAAGTTACGTAACTTGTGTCTTCCAAAATTTCTGAAGTACATCTTCAGAAAGGTACAGACGTGTCCTGCCTCCAATTATCTAAGACAGTACAGAACTGAATAGAGAGCCCTGTTATTTCAGAAGTTTAAAAATTATTAGATAAAGTGAGCAGTAGGAACTGCAGGGATATTATGAACATTGATAATTTGTTCATATTTATTTTGGCTACTAGTTTCTCACTTCTAAGAAACTGAATATTGCAAATAAAACTGAAAAAAACTGAAAAAAACCACAAGTTTGTGTGACGGAGACACCTGTCTGTGGCTTGCTCCAATTTAGACGCATTTTTCAGCATGTAAGGTGTTCGCAAGAGGTGTTACAAAATCTGGTTTACAGCTGTTAGCCAACAAGGAGGATCCACAGAAGCTGCTCTCAAGTAGCCATGGAAGTGTTTTTGTAAAGAGGGTTTGTTTCTTCAGGTAAGTCAAAGCATGCAGTGGAGTGTAGAGTTTAAGGCAATAGCAAACACCACACACACTTCATGAGATATATGTGTATTAGATGATGACACCCCCAGTACCTCATTCATAAAAGATACATTTTCAAGTTTTACAGATACAGCTGTAATCACTAAAGTACTAAAAATATAAATTGCCTTGCCTCAAAGTTGCTTTTTTTGAGGCTCTCTATATTGAACAGCCTTTTCCCCAGGAATGTTGCATAATTATCTTAACTTTATCTGTCTTAAATTTCTTTTGAACATTGCCCATTGAAATTTCATGCATGCACTCAAATATTCTTAATTATTTTTATCACAAATTTAAAAGGCAATCTGATTGAGATTGTCTCTCTGCCACTCAAAAATCCAAACCTTCTCAGGTTCTGCAGGAACAATGAAAAGAGCAGGCCATGAAAAAATGCCTACCTGGAGAACCAGTTTAGTAGTTATTTATTTTTAAATACTTGGCCAACTATAATCTATTATTACTGAACTGCCTTACCACGGATTTCAAGTAATTCCCATTGCACTTGATTTGGCCAGATCACCTGTCTAAGCAGTGTGCTAGGCTGTGTAACCTGCTGGGAGCCTACACCTGTGCCTTTGTTATGGTCCTGTAACAAGCTGCCTGTTCAGACCAGATGCGTATCAGCATCACTGGTTGGAAACCCCTAAATGTCACTTCTGAAAGCTATGTAATCAAAAGCCAGTAGTTCTGAGGTTACCTCTAGCAAATACGAAATTCGTTTTCAGCTGAAGGGTTTGGAGTTTTTATGTGGTATGGTTTTCAACCTGTTTTTAAGTTTACCTTGTAAATAAAATGCACTATTCCACTCATTTGTAGAGTTTTAACTTGGCCAACAGCTAAAAGAAAAAATTCTGAAACTTCACAGGTCTCAGTTCCAGCCTGCTGTTTACCTGCCATTTGGGCAATTCTATCGCTACACTACAGAACACTAGCTAAAGTGGCTTGGCTATTAATTACAATACATGATTTTAAAAAAACACACAAACGGATAAATCTCATTAGCTTCATTAAGACTTGGTTCAGGCTTCTTCCTTTGCTTCCAACTTAATAGCATCATGCAGTCTAAAACACAGGAGAAAGCTTATACTTTGCCTTGTCTCACCACATGCCAATTCTGTCCTGACAGGACATCCTGTAATTTTTTTTTTTAACTCTCTACTGTGAGTGAAAAATGTTCATTCAGAACTTCAACAGAAGATTTGCATACCATTACAATTCTCTAAAGTTGAGATAAAATCTGTAAAGAAAACACTGCCACAACATGGTTAAGAAACTTCAGTCTACTGCTGTTTTATTTTACATAATTTTGCTAGAGCAGAACACAGCATTAGGCCAGTAAGATTATTAACTCACTTTTTCTTACTGCCAGCTTCATGCTTATCTTTCTTTTCCTCGGTATTCTCTCCAAGGTTTGGTGACTGGTTGGTATCTTGAGCTTCAGACCCTCCATTCAGAACCTTTGAACCTTTAAAATGAAAGGGCAGGGAAAGAAAACAGTAATGCAGGCAGCAAAACTGTGCTGTAAGAAGCCCCAGGTAATTTCTTTACCTTCACCAACTCAAACACTATTAATGTTTTCCCCTGACCTTGATACCCAGCAGCTGAAACAATACAAAAAGCAGTAACTGATACAGCTTCAACTTCTGAAAACTCTATGCAATGGGCCTCATTCCATAATTTTAATGGGAATTGAACAGTATGTGTATTCCCTGCAATCTCGAGTTCCTTTTGTCCTTGCTAAACTGCAGGTAATAGACCTAATGCTTATTTATATTCTAAGTAGTGAGAGAATGCTAAGAGAGAATGCTTCAATGGTGAATTCTACTTACCATTCTAACCTAGTCAGATAATTTGGGGGAATTTCTGATACTTCAACTGAAGAAGTTATGAGTTCCATGACTCTCATTTACTGTCAACTCTTAACAAATACGTATATAGTTAAAATACAACAAACAGTATATATAAATAGAGTAAAAGTGTTTAGTTACAGTATGAAATTGTCAAGTAGGAAAACAAAGCACTACTTAGAAGATGAATTTAGTGAAGTCTAATAAGCAGGAATATTTAACCTCTTCAAAATTTCTGTGGTGAATACATGTTTTGCTCTGGTATTACAAGCCAATGAAGTTTAATAAATAGTTGAGGAATGTCACTTTGACATCAGAATCAACAGTCCCTTTTATTTTAAGTTACAGGTTTACCAAAAATGGCTCTATTAAACTACTGTGCTACTGCAAGAGAAAAATACAATACTCATTTGAATACTTACAGACTAAACGATGCTAAAGGTATACAAGATAATTTTAAGATGGCATTCTAGTAGTTGATCTATTTAGACTTGCTCAGAATCAGTTCTGAACTTGAATGTCACAGGAGGAATTCAATGAAGCAATGCTATAATCCTTTGTTACATAGAAGACAGTCTGAAGCTGTACTTCACCTGAAGGACATACTGCTGGAATTGTGCTTTGCAGAGTTCAGCAGTTCCAATTTTTAAAGGGCAGAATCATGAATGTAGGGAACCAGAATTTCTCTTTGTAGCAAATGAAGAAATATCCATGTCCATTAAATATCTCCCTGCTCTGATAAAACTTCAGACCATTCTCCATTTCAATAGGCGACACTATGGTATTTCAGTGTGTTCTGTTGAAATCTAGTATCAACCTTACCTGGAGAATAACTTCATTAGTAGTTTCATTATGTGTAAGAAGTCTTTCAGTTTAGATTCTTTGTTAAAGTACTAGCTGTGTGGATCACTGTGTTAGGGGAAGATCTGTGTGGAACTCTACTATGTCATAGGTACTTCTTTCACCACAGAATGGTTTATCATCATCCTTGCTTTCTTAGCAGTTAAAAATACAGTAGCATTTCTACCACAGTTACTAGGAATCTATAGCATCTTCAATCACCTTAGTATCACCTTATTTACAGAAACTTGTTTACTCCAGATCCAGTTTTCTGAAACATTTTTGCTCCCAGGGTTCAAGATTAAAATAAATCTCATTTCCCTCCAGTGCTTGCAGAGATCAGGAACTAAATAATTTTAATAGATGGGAAGAACTCCTACATATTCAAGGATTCATTTGCAACACAGCTTTCCAGTGTCTCTGTCTCATTTTGTTCCTCTACTTAGAAATACAAATATTTATTTCACTGCATTTCATGTACTTAATTATTTTTTTTTAATAAATGACCTGAGTTACTGTAGAGCATGCTTACTGTGGAAAGCTTTCAATAGCACACTGTTCTTGTACAAGTGCTCACGATTAATCCAGAATAGTACTGCTGAGATCAAAATGGCCTATTTTCCCCTAAATGATAGTAATTTCTTTACTGTTAGACTGAACTACTACAGTTGCATCATGGAAGTAGCATATAAGTGATTACGAGCTGCTGCTACCCACAGTATCGTTCATGATATGGGAAGAGGCAAGTGAAGGAAATGAAGCACTTAAAAGCATAGCTGGAAATCTAGACATCCAGAGGGTACTTAAGGAATAGAAGGCAGTATGGTATTCTACAGCATGTTTAAAATCTCTTTATTCCACAGGATAATAAAGTTAGAAAATTTACAGAGAAATGAGAAATACTAAACAATTCTTGCAAAAGCCCTTCTCTTCAGGCAGTGAAGATAAAAGAGCCATGAAAAACGTTATACTCTTGAAAGTGAATGGCAATATTATTCTTGACAATTTCAGATACATAAAGGCTTTTAATAGATGGGCAGAATTCCTACATCAAGGATTTTCTGAACCTGCTCAGAAATTGAAGGAGACTAGGTCTTTTGTATGCTAAGACAGTAAAACCACAGCGTGGAGAACAGCCCATCCTTTCCCCCTGCATAAGACTAAATAAAATGCCTTTTAAGCCAGCAGAGGCCTTTGGCTGATTATACCCAGCAAACAGACAAAAACAGGCCTCCTCAGCAGCACTGGGAATCATGAGGTGACTGGACAGTCGTGGGCAGAGGTAAATGCAACAGAAAGCCAAACACCACACCGAAAAGGCAACACCCCGAAAACAAAGATGCTTCATCTCGGGGGGACTTGGGGCCATAGGCTAAGCTTAAGGAGGAAGCCAGGTGTGTGGGCATCCCATCAGTGCTTTTGGCTCAGAATTGTTTCTACCATCACCTAAAAACACTCAGAGAAATGCCCTAAAACGTCCAGTTCAAGGTCTAATTCCAGGGAAAGATACAACAAGTCAGGAAACTAAATAGCCCTCCTTCTGCCAATAAAAAGAAATCAAAAAGGTGGCAAGGGGAGGAGAAAAGACAAAATCCCAGTACACAAGACATAAATAATTGGCAGGAAAATGATACCCAATCAGGCCCTAAAAATTCCAGTCCTCCAAAACACTGGCAAAATGTCCTAAGATTAGTTCAAAATAAAAATAGGGACTTGGAGCTTACCTGTGCTGTTGGGCCAAACTGTTATCCTGTAACATTTGTGGTAGACACAGGAGCACAAATTTCCATGCTAAAAGCTGATGTGGCTAAAAAAATGTGATGTTAACAGTAACTTACCTGTTTGGTCCTTTTCCTTTTCCACTTTTTTATTTGCTCCTTTCTTCCACTGTTCTTTGGTTTTGTTGGCTTCTTCATGCTGCTTCTGCTCAGCAAGTGATTTATTTAGCACTTGAGAAAGAACAGAATCTCCTTCCCCAACCAGAAACATGGTCTTAAACTTGTTATATAGCATTGTAGATTTCTCCATAATAACCTGGCTAACTTTGAATTTCCGTATCTGAAATAAAATAAAACAATGAGCTCTACTTAGGTATTTAAATACCTATGTGCTTCCCTCATGTGCTAGATGAAATTCTTAGTTTAAGCTCAAGTCATAGACCTCTGCACTCTCTGACATATCACAGAATCATGGAACAGCTCAGGTTAGAAGGGACCTTGAAAGATCACCTGGTCCAATCCTTCATGGGAAAGGATGCCTGGATAAGATTATCATGACCCTGTCCAATCACATCTTGAAAACCTCCAGTGATGGGTTTCCACCATATCCCTTAGAAGGTTATTCCAGTGGACATTTTTTCTCACTGTAAAACATTTAGTTTTCATATCAAGATGAAGCCTGTCCCAGTACAACTTGTATCCATTGCCCTGTGTCTTCTCACGTGGCTCCTTATGAAGAGAGTCTTTATTCTCTTTGTAGTTGCCCTTCAAGTGCTGGAATACAGTGATGAGCTCCCACCCACCACTTTCTCCAAGAACAAAGGACCTAACCCCTTCAATCTTTCTTTATAAGGCAGGTTCTCCAGTTTTTTCATCATCTTCATGGATTCCTTTTGAACCCTCTCCCATCTGTCCACATCATTCTTGAATTGTAGGGTCCAGAACTGGATACAGTACTCCAGTAGTAAGTAATGCTGACAGCAGTTTAAGAAAACACACAGGGTACTTTGATTAAAACTGCAGATCTCACCTTCTTTAGAGTCAGAATCATTTCTGTATGTTTCTGAGCTTGTTGCATTGTGACTTGAAGGGAAGCAAGCTCATCAAGAGCCTCAATACACCTGTTCACATCCTGTATATAAAAAAGAAACTGGTTTGAAGACTTAACTTACATATTAACAAGCCTTAATTAACCATCCTACACATATTTTTATGCTCAGTAACACCTTCCTGTAATATTCTTAATTTGACAAGGTACTAATTTTAGAACAATTTACATAGTCAGAACTTGTAAACAAAAAATACCAGTTGCCTTTCCACTAGTTCCATAACAAAAGGCAGATACTATCTGAATAACTTAAAATAAAAAAGTAATTTTATACTTAAAAAGACAAACTCCAGTTTTACACCAGTTTCACAATTCTAGTATTTCTGTGCTTGAAACTGTTCTCCAGAGTCAGCTTGCCACTGAGGAGGTAGCAAAGCATCTTAAGGGGACTGCAGTTAATACACAGAACTACATCTTTGTGTATTTTGCAGGTAAAACTTTGATGAACAGTATGCAGAACACCCAGAAGTAATGATATAGGCTTCTGATCCATTTCTAAGAACCACTGTACTGAAGTCTTCTTTCTCTAATACTTAGTTCTCAACTTCCTTATCTTCAGCTGCTCTTGCTTATTTTACTTCCTATTTAGAACTAGTAAGATTCATCATCAATAATAACAATAATCTGCATCTTTATATAAAGTTGTAGCTCTGGTTCTCAAGGGAAATTAATATTTTTTAAAATCCCAAACAAAAACATCAGGACTATGCTCAAAAGAATTCTTACCATCATGTTTACTTGATAAATACAATTATGATAAACTAAGTGTCCTTGCTGTAGCTCTAAAACAAATGTTCTTCCAAGTATTCTAAGTTATTTGCATCATTACATCCCTGAATCAGAGGCCTCGTAGAGTTTGGGGCATTTTCCGTTTTGGGGCTTTTTACTTATTTCAGAGGAATTTATTATCTGAGTCATAGATAGAGTGATTTAATCAAGCCAAAGTTTTGAGGTAAAAGTTTTCTAAAGTTTATTTATTTAAGGTAAACTTTTTTTTCTTTGAGACAAAGTATTGGCATAGACTGAAATAAAATAGAAGAATAGGCCACAACAGAAATGAATGTTTCACTGTGGGCAAAACAGACTTGGAAAAAAATTAACTTATTACCAGCTAAGATAGATTTGAGTCGTGAGAAACAAAGACAACTGTTAAATCAACACTTTTTCTTCCTTCCTCTCCCATGCTCAACTTCACTCCAGACTCCTCAAACTACCCTGAGCAGTGCAGGGGGAGCAGGTGGTTGTTGCATCAGTTCCTCTCTGCAACTCCTTCCTTATCACATTCCCTTCTTTACTCCAGGTTGGGCTATCCCCACAGCCTGCAGTTCTTCAAGAGAAATCTTCAGCAGCAGCCTCTCCACAGGCAGCAGCCCCTTCATGGTCTCTTCCACAGGCTGCATGAGAATACCTGTTCCAGTAACATGAAGCACGCTTCTTCTTTGACCTTGGTGTTCCCTCTGCTATTTCTC